GGTGCACAGGTTCGAGCAAATGATTGGCAGATATGGAGGATACAAGTGAGTTAACAACGGCATGGCTAATATAAGTAGGTAATCAGACGAGTAAAAAGCGCGCTAAGCACTGCCAGATGCTTGTATCTAGTAGACAAACGCAATCAACCACTTTAGACAAAAGTTCAATGAGCTCGATCAAACAAGGACTCCATCATATTTCTTCTGTGAATAATTGAATGAGGTTACTTTCTAACACACCCAAATCATAAACTCTACTCAATATGTCAAAATAATGGCACAAGTGTGTTCAGGTAAGCGCCATTTTACATACCTCGGGAAACAAGTAACCAGCTTGAAGCTTCCCCATGTTGGCATTGCGAGAGACACTCGTTTTGTAAGCTTCACAACAGCACAAACAAACAAACACAGACCCAGAACTTCATCACCAATTCTCATATACATGATTGCAGAAGAAGAAAAAAGGAGGGGGAAACAGGGAGAAGAGAAGCACCAGTAGGAGTCTTCGCTTCCTGGGGAGTCGCAACACACCTGCAAATCTCAGAGTTTCGAAGCGGCAGCGAAAAGTTCTGGCTCCTGCGACGGTAAAAGAGGAATCGAACCCAATATAAGAACAAAGAGAAGATGAAGCGTCGTCTTGCGTTCGTTATAGGATAAGAAAGTGGGGATACCTGGAGGAGGAGGTGAAGGCAGAAGGAGGGGCAATGAAAGTCGATGAAGAAGAAGAGATGGAGGCGTTAAAATGGTACTGGTGGAGAGGCATCTTTTCGGCTGGGGAGGGAAAATGACAATGTCAAATTAGAAGGATAGAGCAGCTGCAGCGGCTGGAAATAGGACTTCAATGGAAGCAAGGAAGAGAAATAGAGTCTGCCAAATCAGAGGCGAATTAGAAAGGCAGTTTCCCATTTTGTATTTAGCTCAATGGGGTGATAAAGGGTGGAAGTTTGGATTGCGGCCCTTGCGGATTGTGGATATTCCGCAAACCATACCAACCAGTATCTATTGTGGGTAACTATACTTATAAGTTGTGGGTAGTAAAATAATGATTTTTGTGGTTAGTGGTTATCCACTACTTTCTACGGTTAACCCACAAATTCCACAATAACCACACTAATTATATTTATTTAGTGAATTAACTTTATAATATAATAGTATGTGAAAAGTGCGAAGATAAAAATTAAAGTAGCCACCAAAGAAAAAAGACACACCTAATCAGTTTTATGTAAGAATTTTTTAGTTTATAAAACACTGTAATCGATAGAGTGGAGAATAATCAATTCATTAAAAGTGAACACCTTTTATAACTTTTATCAGTATGTTTTTGCTTTTGTGTGAAAATATACAAAATCATATTTAATTGTCATATTTCACCCCTAGTCGGGGAAATATGAAATCACAACTCTCTAATACAAAAGTTGAATACCAAACTCAAAAAGAAAAAATCTCCACGTTGAGTAAGATCGATGTACAAAATTGTATCTCCACGAACAACATAAGTGTATAAAACTATAGTCTAGTTACGAACAACAAATACGTTAGTGGCAACTAGAACTCTATGTTTGCAAAGATGGATTTTTGCGGGTAACCACACCCAACACGCAGAAACCCACAGTGGGTAGTGATTACCCACTAACCACTGCGGTGCGGGTTGTGGGTAGCATTATTGTAAATTTGTGGGTGTGGGTACCCGCAAAATGTGGGGCGGGTAACCATACCCAACCCAATTTCCACCCCTAGGTGATTTCCGGGTTTAGTTCAGTAACCTTAGAAGTAACTTGTACGTGACATCAGCATTCTCTCTTTTATGGAAATATTTTTGTCTTTTTTTTGTTTAATTTTTAACAGATGATTTTTCTCCAATTTTAAGTGAAGTTTAAAATTTTTTGCACAGATAAATCAGATTAATTGTGCTCTTCCAAAATGATATCCACTTTGATATATTTTAAGAACAAAAAAAATTTTGAATCATTTTTTACGAGTCTACATCATATGGTATTGACTGGTATTAGATAAGAGCATATCATATGGTATGAAAGCGTATCATGGTGGTATGAACATACCAAGACTGTAGGATGGTTGAATACATGATAGTAGGAGACTAGGAGTATATTAACTATCATTTATGACTTTCATCATTGTGTACCACAAGTTATCACCCCCCACACCAGTGTGGTATAGTATGATATTTTTTGGTCCTGTATTTTTTTCACCCAAAGATTTGTAGATCCAGTAGATCATGATGAACTCGTTCCTTATGCGCAAATATTTTCAAAAATGACTTAAAAACGAAGGAGATACTATATGTTATGGAGTTAGTAACGAGAGGTATGGAAAAAATTCTCAAAAAATATTGAAAATTGATATCATTTTGTAAAACTTTTCAAATCATTCATGATATTTCTAAGAGAAAATCATGACATAATTTTGTATTTACAAAAAATTGGTAAATTAAATATATGTCGAAACTATCAAGAATATTACTTTATATGTAACCACCAATTATTCATAATTTAGTTAGACATTTGCTTTTGAATAGTGTTCTTCGTCAAGACCGTTTAGTATCAATAACTCGAGTTATATTGAAAGCTATATTAATGGACTATACTGTTTGGTATTTACTAACACTTCCCTGCTAACGAAAACCAACTTATACGTGCTTAAATTTTTTGCAAATATGAATATAATGTGCTTAACAAATGGGGTCGCCAAGATTCGAACACATGATCTCTCAGTCAACTATTCTCAATTAGAAGTGCGTTAAATTTCATTCTCAATTAACAATTATACTATTTTAGTCATTTTTGTCCTTTGAAATCGCCTGTTACACTCTCACTAGTCCTACTCCTGATTGAAATAAAAGTATTTTTATAAATTAGCTATGATTTGGTGGAAATTTGCTCGGTATATTGGACAAATACATCTTTAATTTTGGGTGGATTATATGCACCATTTTCATTTGTACATAATTCATTATAAGAACATTGAATATGTCAATACACAACTTATAAATCATACATCAAATATTTGAAAGCTCAATCATTAAAATACTTAATAATTTTCATACCGGATTAACTATTATACCTAATTTACAATTTTCCTCCCGAGCCAAGGTAGTTCCCGGGACCCACCCTCTAACCTTCTCCCTTCGCCCCCGACGCCTTGGAAAAATCTCATATCGACAAAACACAAGAGAGGTCTATAATTCATAAGGAACATCCAATCTTAACTAACAAGACGCGATTGAAGAGTTTTTGTAAGAAATTTGAAGTTAAAAGTGCTTAATTTGGAGCAGTGCAAATGTAGAAGACCTGTCGGGAAGTTATAATGATGCACCTCAAAAAGCAAAACCGTTCGGGGTAGACCCAAAGTGTACAATATTTTGGTCAGAAAAGGTCGGGATGTTACAAGTGGTACCAGATTTTCTCTGCATCCTTTTGAGCGATCGGGGGAGGGGGCAAACCTCAACGAGGACATTGAGTCACGAAATGAGGTGTATGTAACACTTTATGCAAATCTCACATCGACAAAGCACGAAATAGATTTGTGGTTCATTTGGAACATCGAACCTTAACTAAAAATATGCGTTTTGGGTTGAAGTGGAAGAGTTTTTGTAAAAACTCTGAAGTAAATGTGCTTCGTGTGGAAGAGTGCAAAGATGGGTGACCTGCAGAAAGTCATCATAATGTACCCCCAAAAGCAAACCGGATATGCCCAAGTAAACAGTATTTTGGCCAGAAAAAGTCAGGATGTTACAGGATATTTACAAACCTCTCCCAGTTCTTCTCCTTCTTCCTCCTATGCACAATTATCGTCGCAAATCGTATCTCCCTTCAATCTCGTTCTGAATCCAACGTAATGACCCTTCAATCTCTTGCTTACTAACTTGCATAAAACTCCTTGCTCGTCCTACCTCGTCTTCTTCGATGCCAAGAAGCTCCCTAACAAGTGCGAGCTCTGCCTCCAAGATCTCCACTGCGAGTATGCTCTCCTCCCCTCTTCTGTTATCACCAACAACCTCAACAACAACAAGCTCTTCCTCTCATACATCGAGTTAAAAGATAGCAATCCACATTCTCCCTCTTCGATGTCAACTTCCCTCCCTAGCTTGCATCGGCCCAATCGGTTCCGATGTCAAGAATCCCTACGATTTGAAGTCGATGGACGTGGGGATTTCTCGAGGCTGGCAAAACATATGATGGAATTCGTTCAATCGAGAACCCAAATCTCTGTCAATTTGATCCACCACTAGCCAAACATTATGAAGACTAAGCTAAGGTTCTTGATCGTGTTATTCATGAGTTGGACACCATACTTTGTGAAGAAGGTCATCGCATGGGAGAGCAAATTGAATCCTGAGCCATGTTTTCTAGATTTTATTTACACTAAGAAATTTGAGTCGCGCTATGCTGCGGCTTTGATTGAAATTGTCCTAATGTTTAAGCGCGACATCTCCTAATCTTCAATTTGGGGATCTAAATAGACTCGCTCAGCCCTCTCCGTTGTAGTCACCCTCCGCAAAACCTCCCCTAACTGACGCGCTCAATCCATCAAAAGCTTCCTCAACAATTGACGGGATAACCTCAAATCAACAACTTACATCTTCAAAAACTGAGCAAATAAAGAGAAAGATTAATCGAGGAGGAAGACTTTGTGGCACATGATCCTTAAATCGAAATCCTAATTCCATCACAAATCAACAAAAAATGTGAAATATACTAATTAGAATTCTATAACAATCTGCCAAATCAATATGAATAAGAGAGAGGAAGTGAAATGATAAAGAAAAAGAAAGGGAAAGAAAGAGGCAGAGGATGATTAAGATGAGGTTAGGGTGAGTTGAAGATTGATTATTTGTTCCAATCGAGAGAGATAATGGGAGAAACATGTCGAAGCCAATTTCCTTTATTTGCCACTGCCTGCGGCCACGCGTTGAGGAAGAGATGGGGATGGGATGGGGTGCTAACCCCATAGTACATTAGCACCGTGCTAATTTCCACATATTCGCTTTCTTTTTTTTATCGGCTGCAAAAGGAGTAATATTGTGGGGGGCATTTTTGTAAATTTGGGTATTTAGCTGTCAGGTCGTGTAAGTAGCGGGATTTTTTTTTGGTAGAAATCAGCGGGATTTTTAGGGGTTGTGAGAAGTTTCTTTTCTTGGGGTTTTCTTCCCAATTTCCTCTCTAGCCTTCCGGCCCAGCGACACCGCCTCCGCTCCGTCGACGTCGCCCTCCGCTCCCCTCGACACTGCCCTCCGCTCTTTTCGACGCCGCCATCCGGAAACCTCGACGCCGCCCTCCGCTCCCCTCAACCTCTTCGCCGACCTCCGATCCTCCCACATCGCCGCTGCCGTCCTCTGCTCCTCCGAACTCGTCGTTGGCAGTTGATTTCAGCCGATCTTGTCTTCGCTCGGGCCGCCGCCTCAGGTAATAGTCAAACCTCTTCAATCTTCTTTCCATCTTTCCATAGGCGCCATTGCATGCCCCTGCCCCGACTCTGATTTCTTTTTTTTCGATCAATATCTGTCTTGTAGGGAGGTTTCGTGTAGGTTTCCAGATGCTAGCTCTGTTTTGGTTTATGATCGGAGTGGGAAGCAATTTTTTTTTCCGGACGAAGTTCAGTTTTGCATATGAGACGTTGAAGAGTCCAAAACGTGGAGTTCGTAGTGTTCGTGGGTGTGAGTGGTATTGTTTCCTTTATAGTGAGTCGTGTTAGGCTACACCTGACCGCGAGGTCCAAACCTTTGAGTTCGTAGTGTTTTTGGGTGTGGGTGGTATTGTTTCCTTGGTAGTGTTTCGTGTTATATTACAGCTAACCGCGAAGTGAGTAAGGGCTTCATACTAGTAGTTATTCTCATCCTGCTTAGTAGTGTTTTCGTGTTAATGGTGGTGAGAAAGCTTGCAATTGAACCGTGTTAGTAGTGTTTCTTTTATTAGTAGTGGTGTTAAAGTGTGTACCGTGTTGGTTTAGTTATTAGTGGTGTTTCTTTCCGCTGCCCGTGCAAAAACGCTACAACTGAAAACACTACACTACCAAAAGCCAAAACCGCTACACTAACATATCCCCCACGTACCAAAACACTACCATAAAAAATATACTACCTTGCATAACGCATCACACGCAACTAAAGCTTCACAAACTACCAAAAACAGTACAACAAGAACATTACAGTCAAATATGGCAAACACTACATATTCCCTGTTCAGAGACACTTCAACCACTACACACCCAACAAACCCCACAGAAACACTACCACCACTACACACCCATCCACCTTTACAAACCATACAAACTCACAAGTACTACTGCTACGGACAAACCACACCGCCAAACAGTAATATCACTCACTACAACCACTACCATGCAAAAACACTACCACTAATTTCCCTACAGCACACCTCCTTTACATCCCAGAAACTGCATTCCCGACGTTACTCATAAATGGTGGTACAGAATAAATGATTGCAAAACACAAGAAAATTCACGGCGTACCATCACTAATCTCCGAGAGAGAGAGAAAATGGAGGCAGTTACACGAATAGAGAGAGAAAGATAATGATGGGAGTGAAAGAAGAGAGCCGCTGGAGAGAGAAAGAGAATAAATTAGATTTAAGTTTCCCTAGAAATTAGCATTAATTTTAGTTTTTTTTATTTTTCCTGTTATATACCTGATTTACCCTTTGTTAGCACGGTGCTAACCATCTATGAAGTTAGCACCGTAGCTTGTCCCAAGAGATGGTTGTTAGCCAAGAAAAGTAACGGGTACCATAAGTTAGCAAAACTCTTATGCTAACCATCTATGAAGTTAGCACCGTAGCTTGTCCCAAGAGATGGTTGTTAGCCAAGAAAAGTAACAGGTACCATAAATTAGCAAAACTCTTATGCTACATTAACTCTTGTTTAACTTTAATTATATTAGGATAATATGCACCCAAAGCTGCACCAACTTCTCCTCCTGGGAACCGATTGTCGTAGCCAGAAGGGAGGTGCACAAAATAGTAACGTGCGGGTGCCGGTCCCAGCGGGTCAGCAAAAGAAAATTGACAATGGTGCATAATAAAAAATCTCTTATGCTACAGTTATCCTGTTATAACTTTAATATGTATTAATTAATAACTATTAAGATATATGATCTTCTTTATTTACCTTACCCAGCATAATCCGAAAATATTCTTTTTTGAATAGTCCATTAAGATTCAGACTCAATCGGTGCCGAAGCAGAGTCGGAGGTTCTAGGCAATTGAGGGAAGGGGATTGAAAACACCCTTTCCATCTTGTTCATGTAGTAGTAGTGCTGCTACTCGTGGTCATCCTTTCAAGATATGTATGACAACGTTGGAGTCTTCAACGGAGTGAGCAGGTTATCAAATAGCTTGGATTTTATTTCTGTCGAAAGGAAAGGGTTTGTGTTATTTATCTTTTAAATATGTATTGATGTTCCTCGTTTTATGGTAAAACTTCTAATGAGTCAATTGGATTGGAGTAGATTTTTGCCTTGTTTAGCTCAACTCGTTTATCAACAAGAGGAGTCAAGTCGAGTTTGAGCCAACTCATTATTAAAATCACGAGTTGAGCTCGACCTCAAGTCATTTATTCTAAATAGTTGAACCCTTAAACTAACTATAAAAAATTATAAATTAAATACTCTAATATTTATATGTATGGTATGATACATGTGATCATTAACTTCCTTATAAGTCACCCACTTTAATTCGTTTCATTATCAGCACTGGCCATCCAATTATGTTAAGTTCATCCTATTTGGTAATTAACAAGGAGGCTTGATGTTAAATGGCCAACATTGTAGTTAAAAAATAAAAAAAAATTAGTTCATTTTTTCACCACCAACCCAAACCTAACGAACTATGGAATTCTCAATGTATCAAATTCCAACATATATGATCCTGCCATAAAGATAACCAGTTATAGCTAGCTTTTAGGCTACCGCGACTTCTCACTCCCGAACCACTATAGGAGATTTGTAAACGTTACTGCCATGTAGCTGAAACAGAAATTCACAAATTGAGGAATCAGAGGTATGACAAAGCTTCATTCCAATTGTCAAAAATTTAAACAAGTATTCAATTATTGCAAAAGTAACACAAAGGAAATTTGGTGGGGTCGGATAGTATGCCTACCCTTAAAAGGGTTGGCTTTTTGACACCCCTTTATGATTGGCCAATTTTATTTCCAATCATTGGCAAGTATTAATTAAACTGGTTTTTTATTTTTTTTTTAATCTTGTAATTTGGGGTCTCTCACCCACATTGGAAAGGGAAAGAATTTGGGGAATCAGAAAAAAGCTCCCCCCCCCCCAAATGTGCAATTAATTGCCTTTTTTTTTTCTTCCTTTCGTCTCCTTCTCTCTCCATTTGGGCCCCTTTTCCATTTTGATTTCATTTTAACCAGAACCCTCCTCTACTCTGAAACGACCAAAACCCTCCCCCATTTTCATCTTCATCTTCCTTCGCAGCCGCCATCACCCCTCTCTGCCATCTTCATCCACGCCTTCCACCTGTGCCGCCTCCATCCCTCCAACCGTCGTACTCCTCCAGCGCCTTCCCCCACCACCATCCTCCTATCTCCAGCTGGCGCCATCCTGGGATCGCCTCTGACCTACCTTGTGGATTGATCGCACCAGTGGAGTGGTACGTGTACCAGTGGAGTGGTACGTGTACCAGTGAAATGGTACGTGTACCAGTGGAGTGGTACGTGTACCAGTGGAGTGGTACGTGTACCAGTGGAGTGGTACGTGTACCAGTGGAGTGGTATTTGTATCATTGAAGTGGTACTGCATTGTTGCTCCGTTATTGTTTATCATTGTTATGAAAAATATCATTGCACTGGTATTGTTCTCACTCTAACTCGTATTTGCCACTTATAATGTACCACTTCATTTGTATTTTGTATGGGAGAAATACACTACACGCCACTAAACTATAAGAATTGGGGGAAGGATACTACTAATGGGAAAATAGAGCACCAAATACCATTAAAGTTCCCAAAATATGCATCCATTAAATTCTTCATCAATTTGATTAACCAAATGAATACAATATATTTTTCCACCTCAAGCCTCTTTAACTTTCGTTGAAACTCGACATTAAGAGTTGGTGGACCATAAATATCTTCATTGTCATTGCTCCATTTTGCAAGCTCCCTAATCGCTCTCGCTTGTAGTCCGGAACGTGCTCTACTCCCTGCTCCGTGTGATTTGTCTTTCCTAGCGTGCATCCGACGCCGCTCCACAACTTCTTGAGGAACTCACTGCTCTGACTGAAATCAAAGAAGGTAAAATCAAAAGTCAAACCAATAAATATAACTACTGATAGATGAGATCAACAATAAGACTTTCACTGCAGATATATCAATCCATTGGCTCTATCCTAGAAAGCCATTCTAAACATAACTACTACTACGGTAGTTGTACTTTAAACAACCATAATGATTTTGTTTGTACCACTACAGTGATAGCACTACCACAAAAACATCACAATGAACTACCACTGCAGCGATAGATCTACCACTACAGCGATAGATCAACAACTGCAGTGATAGACACAATATGCCACAAAAACATTCACATGGTTAACTATATCAATGTGTTGATAGACTGCAGTCAAATAAACAACACTACATTATCCAAGAATCAACTATCACTGGAGTGGTATACTTCCGTACCAGAATCAACAATTTATACCACTCCAGTGATAGACATACCACTGGAATAACATTCAACAAAAACTCAAACACTACAATTATCATTGTAGTGGTAACATTACCACAAGAAAAAAAACACATCTTCGTGGGTATGATAGAGAAAAACTAGACTGATAAGGAATAATTAAAAAATCACAAATCTAGAAAAATCCAGGATAATGATAAACTACCAGTACACTGGTACCAATACCAATACTCACATATGAGTAATCATAAACCACCAGTTCACTGGTATCAATACCAGTTCTACACCAAAAACCCAGATCTGGGTATGGGAGAGAGAGATAGTGGGACGGAGAGAGTTACCTCAGATTCTTCGTCGTCGTCGTCGCCGGTAAGGGAAGGATGGCTAGTGTAGGAAGGGGAGACGGGTCGTCATCTTTGCTGGGAAGGTGAGGATGATCATTGTCTTCTCCGTCGATCCTTTCATAGTGCCAAGCTTGTGGAAGGAGATGGAGAGTTACGGCAAGCTTGGCATTGCTCGGAGAACAGCGATAGTCACGATCTAAGACATAGCCACGATGGAGGATGCGGGACAGAGCCGGTGGGAGATGTGGACTATGACGGTGAAGAAGCGACGACGGCGAGTAGGGGAAGGGGGAATCGAGGGAGAGAGGAGGAAACGAAAGGGAGAGAAAAAATGGGAGAAGAAAAGGGTTTCGAATGGGGGGTGATAATCGTTTTTCCCCAGATTCTTTCTCTTTTCCAATGTGGTGAGAGAAATTAATTATGTAATTAATGTATAAAAAACAGGTGATTAATACTTACCATTGGATTAAATGGATGGTATCTAAGAGGGGTGTCAAAAATCACTACCCCTTTAGGGGGTAGTCAAGCTAACCGAACCCAAATTTGGTGGACAATCAGTCAAGCGAACAAGGGCTTTGGTCTAGTGGTTGTATCACTAATCTTAAATCTGGATGTTATAGATATGAGTCCCTTAAATTTAAATA